AATGTGTGGATTCCCAAGACTGGCTATCCCCTTCTGCCAGTCCATTGCTCTACCTTTCCCTCTTTGTTACTTCATTTCTATCCACTTGTCTCGAATGCAGAAAATTATCTGTTTCAAATAATTGTCAGAAATAGATTATCAGCTGCTATAAGCACAGGCCACTTATTGGTGTGTAAATTACCAATGGCACATGTGATGTTGTAAAATTACACTTGTTTCTCTGCTTTTCTTTTTCATGCCAAATCTCACTAGCAAATTGATTGAGCTGGTTGAGAGTGTAACAGAGTAAGTCAAATCCCAGCACTTTGTCCTATTAATAGATGAACCAATAAGGTATTGGGGTATCTGCTAAACTAATGAGGTAATGTGAAAGAATAGGAATAATGGGATTTGAGCAGAGAGGGGTGGTTTGTTTCTCTGTGTTGCCTAGCCTATGACACACTTCTGGTCCTTGTAAATGAACTTATTTTCCCTGTTTCATTCACTACACTGTTGTTTTAGGTTGGTATATAGTTCCCAAGTGGTTTGTTTCCTTTTTTTAAGACAGCATATTGTACATGAGTGATATTGAACAAACAATTATTGCAATACAAGAGATACTGTGCCTGGCATTTTCTAGTACCAACCATTCAGAATCTTTTTATTTTTTTTTTAAATTGAGTTTGCAAAGGAATAAGTCAAAAGGTGAAACCATCATTATTGAAAGCAGTGAGTGCTTCCAGAAATGGCTGCTCTGTCTTCCAATAATGATGAGGCTTCAAGTTCAAGTGGAAATATTATTTAACTTTAATATAGATTCTTCTGAATAACTCCTATTTTTATGTTTAAAATTATTTGCCTAATGCAAATATGCAAAATTAAACACACGGAAGGAGGTGACAAGGACTACCTAGTGCCTCTGGGCCAGTCCTGAGCACAGGATGGTGAATGAGTCCCACCAACCTAGGAATAACTCAGGAAGAAACTGTGACTATGATACATCTACATTTGAGCTGGGAGATGTGGTTCCCATTCACAGATGTACCTGCTGTAGCTCTGCTTGGGCTAAGGTCTAAAAACTAAGTGTGTCCACAGTGGCACAGGTTGGCCGCTTGAGCTAACTGTCAGAGTGAAATCCCTGGGTACATCCTCGAGTGGCTAGCCTGAGATGCCAGCCATATTGCCGTGGACACTGCTATTTTTAGGTGCTAGCATGAGCCGAGCTAACGTGGGTACGTCTATGCAAGCTGGGAATCACACCTCCGAGATTAAATGTAGATGTATCCTTAGAGGCGCACATCTGAAGCGCAATTCCTTCTCTGCTTCCCCCTTGCTTCAGGAGCACATTAAGAGGTGGGGAGGAGTTAGCATTTTTCTGAGGCTTATGCCAGCAGCAAATTATCATACCTTCCAAGACAGTTTAGCTGTTCTGGCCAATGGATCTGGGAGCCATTGATCTATGCCAAAAGTGGGAGTAAGCATGTACACAAACTCCAACTAACTGCTGTGTGCCTGGATGGTCCAAAGTCAGGGTATCCCCCTGTTGTAATCATTGGGCCTACAAATTTACCCAAATTGTGAGCTCAACTGGGAGAAAGTGAATAAAAGTTTATGAAATGCTCCTATCACATATAATGATAAATGCTGATGGAGGGGGGAGAGGAGAGGTGCAAAAGGGAGATGGACTAAATTAGTCCAAACGAAAAGGCTTACTGATATAATTCAAGGACTGTGTTAAGATCATGTTGGATAAAGAAGAGAAGTGTGGAACTGGAAATCAGTTAACCAAAATTGGCATGTGGGAAATTATGCCTAATGTGGACAAAATAATGAGAGGACCAGTTATTCCGTTCATTACTCCCTTTCCGGGGTTCTCAAAAAGAGACTTTGGGTGGCAGAAAGCTGGCTACCATGATACTGGCTGACTTAAAGAAGGGGAAGAAGCAAGCTTCTCATAGCTGCCACCCCCACCCTCTCCTGGGACCCCAGAATCCAGCATTGTGCCTTCACTGTCCTGATCCTGAGAGATGTCCAGACCAGACCAGGCCAGAGAGCGGGACCCAGATGATGCCTCCATCTCCACTGGCTCTGGCTAATTCCTGAATGCATCTGGGCTGTGAAATTTTTGTCACACCTCCCCCCCCCCCCATTGTGTGTCCTTTTCCAATTCCTCCCCTGCTTTATTTTTTCCCTTTCCTATCCCTCGCCTTTTGCCTTCTGTCTAATAAGAATCCAGCTTAGATGGGCAACAGTGTAACTTTTGCACATTGTTGTAAACCTGTGACCAGAAGGGCAACTAGAAGCAATGCCCTACACAGCCCAATGCCGGTACAAGTTTGCCATGTCTCAGAGTGGCTAATAAGACCAAGTGCCATGCTTGTGTTTCTCCAGCAGTGAGGTGACAATAAAAGTCAACAGCAAGGACAGAAGCTGCATTTTAAGTGTGTGTGTGTGTGTGTGTGTGTGTGTGTGTGTTGTGTGTTTTTCTAGGAAATGGGAGTGGACTTTAATAAAAATAACTCCGGTCCCTTTCAACCAACTTCTTCTCTGTTCTCCAAAAATGGCAGTTCTCGCCATCTAAGAGACTGTCAAAGTGGGGAGGGGATCCTTCTAAAGACTCTCTCTAGATAAGGGAACAAGGAATGCTGTTAAAATAAAAGCCTTACATAAAGCATTTGAAATATAAGGTATGTAACTGTTTTCATTCTTGTACTGTATCCTTTTAATAAAAGGTTAAAAGAATGTTTCATGGTGTCTTTGCCAGGCTGAGCTCTCTGAATACCAAACCCTGAACCTTGTCTAATATTGTTAATGTTAGACAGTGCTAGGGTCACGTTAACACCTTTGGCTTTTGGGGCCGATTGAAATTAATATTACATTCCACAGGGGTATAAAATGGGGGTTTGCTTCCCTCTGTGGGCCTGATGTCCGAGGCACGATCTAGCACCATGATATGACAAGCCAGATGATTCTTCCAACTTCACTCATGTTGAGTAGTACCTCACTCTGAGCTGTCCTATTGAGGGAAATGGCACTATTCCTGGAGTAAGGTACTACTTAGTGTGATCATGGGCCAGCTTCTGCCACTTGTAATGACCAACAACTACTTCATAATGTACAGTGTCCCAATGGAACGTAAGAAAGAGGATCTGTCTTACAGATGCTTCTAAAGGACCTATTCCTCTCCCAGCTAAGTCAATGGCAAAACTTCCACTGAAATCAGTGGAAGGAGGATGAGGCCCTAAACAAGTGGCCTACCTACACTATGGGATTCCAGATCTTGAAGAACAATTCTATTTTGTCATGCATGGGAACATATTGTCTCCAATCTTCACAAATTAAGATGAAATCAATCCAATGTTCTATACAATTTCCAAAATACCTTTCTAATGCTGAAAGATTATTTTGAAGTCCAAGTTTAATATCAAATAGGTTGGGTTTTTTTGGCACCTACCAACACAAAACACTGAGCTAAAGTTGCTGATTTTAAAAAGCATAAATGGCGTGGTTAAAATTCGTTTTAGCCTAGTCATTTTTTCAGAGTTGTCAATAACTTGGTAACAGAATGATCAGGTTAAAGGACATGAAGACTGTGACTCAGAAAAGCACTTAAGCACATGCTGAACTTTAAATACGTGCTTAAGTACTATTAACTTCAGAAGAATTTAAGCACATGCTTGAACTTAAGCAGATGTTTAAATGCTGTCCTAAATAGGGATATTTTCCTGAATCAGGGCCTAAAATGATGCGATAAAGTGTACCCCTTGCCACCCAACAAGATCAACAACAGTCAATATTAAACATCAGCTTTGTACATCCTGACTGCAGTACTTAGCGCTTCATGCAGTAGGAAAATATGACTGGAGCATTGATACAGATGGATATCTGTGGAGAAAGTTCCTTCAAATGTTGATTCTAGGCCTCTTGAGATAAAGTAGTACTGGAGTGTAGTTTCCAACTGACTTGTACTCCCAATAAGGGATCTGCAGACACACAAATACATTTAAAGGCTATCTGAGATAAGATGTTGACATCATAGGGTATGTCTACACTACAAAATTACTCTGATTTTACAGAAGTCGATTTTTGGGAACAGATTGTATAAAGTCGAGTGCATGCGTCCACACTAAGCACATTAATTTGGTGATGTGCGTCCCTAGAACCGTGGCAAGCATTGACTTTCGGAGCGGTGCACTGTGGTAGCTATCCCACAGTTCCCGCAATCCCCGCTGCCCATTGGAATTATGGGTTGAGCTCCCAATGCCTGATGGGGCCAAAAATTTGTCACGGGTGGCTATGGGTAAATGTAATCTGTCAACCCTCCCTCCGTGAAAGCAACGGCAGACAATCATTTTGCGCCCTTTTCCCTGGATTGCCCGAGCAGATGCCATAGCACGGCAAGCATGGAACCCATTCAGCCTCTTTTCACTGTCACCATATGCCTACTTGATGCTGCTGACAGACACGGTACTACAGTGCTACACAGCAGCAGCTGCAATGCCTTGCCTTTGCGAGTTAGCAAAGACGGTTACCAGTCATTCTGTACCGTCTGCTGCTTTGCAAGTTGGCAAAGACGGTTACCAGTCATACTGTACCATCTGCTGCTGTCATGGGTACTCCTGGCTGGCCTCTGTGAGGTTGGTCGGGGGCACCTAGACAAAAATGGGAATGACTCCCCAGGTCATTCTCTTCTTTAAGTTTTGTCTAATAGAGATTCAGTGCTGCCTAGAATATCAGGCAAGCCTACTAAAGAACCACAGATGCAAGTGGCTGCTCCGGGTCAGAGCCTCAGACATCCCGCAAAAATGATGAGCTGCATGCCATTCTAGGGGGTGCCCGTACAACAAAGCCACCCATTGCTTCCCTCCTTCCTCACCCCTCCCAGGCTACCTTGGCAGTTATCCCCCCATTTGTGTGATGAAGTAATAAAGAATGCATGAATTTGAAACAACACTGACTTTATTGCCTCTGTAAGCAGAGATCAAAGGTGGGAGGGGACGGTGGTTGGCTTACAGGGAAGTAGAGTGAACCACCATTCTGCACTTGCTCAGCCTATAGTCTGTCCATCATGGCCTTGGAGATTTTTTTTTAAATGTTTTGGCATTCCGTCTTTTGGAACGGAGTTCTGATAGCACGGATTCATCTCCACATACAGCAATCAGGTCCAGTACGGTCCATGCTGGAGCTCTTTTTCGATTCTGGGACTGCATGTTCACCTGTGCTGATGAACTCTGCATGGTCACCTGTGCTGATCAGCTCTCCACGCTGGGGAAACAGGAAATTAAATTCAAAAGTTTGCGGGGCTTTTCCTGTCTAACTGGCCAGTGCATCCGAGTTCAGATTGCTGTCCAGAGCGGTCACAATGGTGCACTGTGGGATAGCTCACGAAGGCCAATACTGTCGAATTGCGTCCACGCTAAACCTAATTCAAACCGGCAATGTCGATTTCAGCGCTACTCCCCTCGTCGGGGAGGAGTACAGAAATCGATTTTAAGAGCCCTTTTTGTCGACAAAAATGGCTTCATTGTGTGGACGGGTGCAGGGTTAATTCGATTTAATGCTGCTAAATTCGACCTAAACTCATAGTGTAGTCCAGGCCATAGTTCTGAGTGCCCCAATCATCAAATCTGTATGCCATGAGCAATTTTTAATTTTTCAGCATCATTTCATTTTTGTCATTTCTCTCTGTTCAAGGTCTACTCATCCCAGCTGAATCATTCTAACAAGGCTATAAATGCAGAAAGTGTGTGTTGACTGGGGATAGTAAAAATAATGTATATCTCTGGAAAGTTACTACTTACACAAGTCAGCACAACTGTATATATCCAGCATTTAGATACGTGCAATGAGCCAAATCCTGGACTCGCTCAAGTCAATTCCAAATCTCATTGACTTCAGTGGGACTAGTGTTTAGACACCATATTTATAGGCACTTTATAAATATCAGTGGCTCCAATCCAGTAAATGTTACTAGGCATAATTCTTACTAGCAGGACTACTGTCGCTGAACTCACTGGCAGTCCTCATGACAGTGAGCACTATGCCAAATTGTATGTTTAGGATTAGGCACTAAAATAAATAGATAAGATAAAAGCTCAATGCATTTAGAGCACTGCACTGCCTGAAACTTGGTTTAGACTTAAAAATTAGGTTGACATAGCTATGTTGGTCTGGGGTATGAAAAAATCACACCCCTGATCAGCATAGCTATGCTGACCTAAATCCAGTGTAGATGCAGCTATGTCAGCAGAAGAATTTTTTCATTAACACAGCTTCCATTGACCGGGGAGGTGGTGTTCCTGCACTGGTGGGAAAAACCCCTTCCGTTGATGTAGTCTGTGTCTACACTATGGGGTTATGTCGGCAAAACTATGGTGAGATAACTATGCTGGTATAGTGCTCTGTAGTGTAGACAAACCTTGATGCTGCTGTTGCTACATTTTAGTATTTTTGTTTCTTCACAACTGCCATGATGCCAACTTGACCTGATTAAGTTGACACAAAGATATGTTCTAAACAGTTTGTTTTCAATGTTTCAATTCTCTGTTATTTTGATGGCCTCCCTTTTCAGTGCCAGCCTTGGCAGGAACTAGTCCAACAAGTTTGTACCATCTTCATAACAAACCTCCCCATTGTTCTTTATTGTGTGTGTGTACACACATAAAGATCATAAAGTTTTAAGACTAAACATTTTGAAAACATTTTTCAGAAAGGACATGCTCAACAGTTCACAAGAGGATTAGTAAATATAGTTTGATTTCTTAGAAATCACATGTATTGCATTAAAATTCTAACCATTATCCAGAAGCAGCTTGTTTATAATGTTTATCTTGCAGTTTGCGTTTTTAATGTATTTAGGCTGTGATCTTGTGAGACAGAAAAACAAGGTAGGTGAGGTAATGTCTTTTACTTCTGCTGGTGAAAGAGACAAGGTTTTGAGCTTCCACCAAACTTTTCTTCAGTTCACATTTTCTGTTAAAACTATATTTCCAAAACTTTGCCATTTACAAGTTTAATCCCATCACCAAAGCATGGCAGATGTTTAATGTAAATTTTGGATATTGTAGTGCATTGGACAACTACATCCAGAGAAGATTTCACAGCACACACACTGCTATGAAGTGAAGACCTGTAAAATGAGGAGGGTAGGACCCTAGAGGGTGGGTTGTAGAACTTCCAACCAATGTACATGTTTTTTTTATTTCCTTCTGGTCCAAGTTGTATGGCACATTCTTCCTAACTTCAGTTTAGGGAGGGATGGATCGAAAGTTCAAATTTTTCAGTGATTTCACTCTCTCAAAATTTCTCTTCAAATATGTTATGTTATTTTCTTGTTGTTTCATTTTGCCAAAATGCAATGTCACTGGGCTGTTCTGTGCTGTGACCTTCAAATTCTCCCTGATTGAGAAGATGAAACATCTTGGTGCCAGACCAAGGGTTAACAGCAACACAGCCAGCTTTCTTTTGCTCCACTCAGTGCCTGCCAAGTCACAACCTCAGATCCATCTTTATTCATACAGGCTGGGAGAGATTCACCTGCTCTGTGGCCAGGCTACCAGAGGATGTCACTGCAAGATGAAGCCTGTCTGGGTAGGGGAGAGGAGTTTACTTCTGCTGGAGGGATTGTGATGCGTCTGTCAGAAGGGATCAATCTTTGCTAGATCTGAAGAGCTAGCCCTTTACTCTCATAGGATAAAGGGATTAGGCATATTGTAAGCCTCAATATAAACACCCCGATGAGCAAACATGACTTAAACATGAGCAGGACTGTTGTGATCACTTCTAAGCACAGGAGAAATTAAGATTTCTTAGGCTTCTTTATCCCAGTCTTCTTTCTTCCCATCTCATCCCTTTCCCCACCTTCTTGTAAACTCATTCTTGGTTTCTCCATCTCTTCCTTCATTTGTTTCTCAGACCCTCCTTTCTGTGTTTGTTCACTGAACAACAACTTATTTTAAATTGTGTAGTTCGGGGTGATGCAGCTAAGCATAGCAGAGTATCCTGAATCACTTGCCTTGCCTGGCACTTACATATTTTTCTGATATAATCTAAAAGTATTCCTCAGAGTGTATTAACAGAAAATAGACTCTGCACCCAAAACATGCAATTATTGATCATTTATTCATCTTATAGTGTTCAGTGTGCCCAACGCACCATTTCAGTAAAGCCATTATCAGAAATGATGATCTTAAAGAAACGCTGAAAACACACCAGTGCACACGTGTGTTGTAGAATAATGGAAAGTGAAAGATGCCTCTCTGTTCTGGACTTCTGCACTCATTCATTTTGGCCTATGTACCATGAGGATAGGGTGTATGGAAAATGCAGAAGATAGACTAGGTAGATGAACTAGCTAGGAACTTTCTGAATGACTAGAAATATTAATAAGAAATGTTTCATCATTGAACCCTACTAGTTATTTGTATATGTTTATATAAAATGAAAATTAACCTTTGTAAAAGCACGTTTCAAAGAGTGATCCATTTGCTAATGATGGGGCATATTGTGCAATTTACACACAGCTCTAACTAGAAGGTAGTATAGAACAGCATGACCCTGGGGCAAACACTGGAGGGATAGTGTCTGGAGAGGCACAAGAAAGCTGTGCTGGAGTTTCTCGCTATACTTGAATTGTACCCTGTGCATAGGGTACAGCTCAGACATGTTGAGAAAGCAGATTGCACCCTCAGACCTACTATACTGGGTTTGCCGCAGCGCCCAATTTCCTTTCAGCCACTTGTAATAGGTAAGTGCCATTTTTAAAGTTAGATTCTGAGCTTTAAAATGACACCCAAGTCACCTGGGTATTCTAGGTGTAAAGAAGTGGGAGTGAATAGTTTAAACAGGTTTTTAAAAACCCATTACATTTCCTGCCTCCCCATCGCCCTCGCCCACAAGAAGTAAAGAAGGATGGAAGACTGCCTAGTTTTGTAATGTGTTGTATTAAGCTTTCAACTCCATGAAACAACCCTTACTCATGTGAGTAATCAGTAGCCTTTACTGACACAGGTAGACTACTCACGAGAATAAGGGTTACAACGTAAGTGCCTATTACATTCTGCTTCCATCGGGTAAAAATGTAACGTAGCACCTGTTTGAAATAGTCTCTTGCTAAGACACCACAGTTCCAAAAAAGGGAAGCTGAAGTCCACATACATAAGTATCCTGCAACTGCATGCAAATTTACCACAATTATATGTGGAAATGAGGTAACTGTGTGTACAAAGCAATAGGTAGGTGCCCAAGTACTCATTTGCACATGCACTTAACCAATGAGTATGCATGATTCACATCTATTAATCCATATTCGCTGGTGCAAATGTACACATGCAATTATTGCACCTTATAGGTATGAAACTGAAAGAGGCACACAACTGAGAGAAGAGGGAAATTTCATCTCTTATGTAACCAATGACACACTTTAGTAAATACCATGATGTGTGGGTTAAATCCATCCCTCAGATTTGCAAGCATAGCTTTTACTGCCACAGGTACTGCAGATGCTTTTCTGAGTCCACAGTTCATATCACTATATTATCCTGTTTCAGTATATAATTATGTGTACATGTTGTATCTATTTGTGGTATTGTTGACTCAGTAGGTGGCACTCTTTTCTCTAAATTAGTACTTAGCCTGTGCTTCAGCTTCCTGTTAGGAGATGCCAAAGTGATGGGCCCTTCATCATCAAAGTGAGCTATAAAACTGAGGTCTGAACTACTTTGGTGATTAAAGATCTGACACTTTTTGCAAGGGAGTTGGGTGTTAGCCCCACTAACAGAGGCAGGCTGGAACCTGAGCACCGAAATTCCATATGTAGTTTGTACTGGACACCCTATGACTTATTCTCATCTCACTTCCATTTTTACACTGGCATAATGTCAGTTGAGTTACTGTTGATTTACACCAGAGTAAGTGAGATCAGAATCAAGCCCAGTGTTCTTTACTTTCCTCCCTAATATGTTGGGTAGTGTTTCTGGGTGCTGTTAAACAGGTGCTGTACTTCATTCCAGGAATGGCTGCATTTTAGTGTGAACGACTGATTCCTACATATTAAAGGCCAAACCATGGAAAACTCTCATTGGGATCTCAGATACTACTGTGTAGTACCCAGAGCTGAGCAAAGAAATCATATAGATGAAAAAATTAGCCTCTTGCTCTACTTACAAGTTATCTGTAGATATTTATATCTTAGGTGAATTTGAAATTATCTGTTGAATAGTTACTTCAGATATTTATTGATGTGTAAATTGTTCTGCAGCAGTTTGTTGCAATTACTCTATCGGAAATCCAAAATTAAAAGTTTGATTGGTCATATGGATTGTATGGTGTTATTCCTGTTAACTTGTGGGATGGTGTTTCTGGAACAAATACATTTACAAGTTCAAAAACCAATTTTAGTCAGTTAAAATTTGCTGTTGCCATGAATTTCTGACTGTGAACTCATGCACTAGGATAGTCTTTGGAAAACATAAAAAGGGAGCAGGACCGGCGCTTCCATTTAGGCAACCTAGGCGGTCGCCTAGGGCACCAGGATTTGGGGGGGCGGCAATTCGGCGGCGGGGGTCCTTCTGAACTCCGGGTCTTTGGCGGCAGTTCTGCGGCGGGTCCTTCACTCACTCCGGGACCCGCCGCCAAAGGACCCCCCCACCACAGAATTCCCGACGATGACCGGGAGCGTGGAAGGACCCCCACCTAGGGCACCAAAACCCCTGGCATCGCTCCTGAAAGGGAGCATGCAGGGAGTGCAGTTCTAGCTTTGACTGAATATTTATGAAAAATGTCTTGGCATTTGTCTTGCTGTTGGTAAATGCAGAATTTTTAATGCCTACCCCCTTGAAGGATCCTAATCCCCTTTACACGTTTTGTAGTCCTTACTCAGGAAAAAAGGCTCCCACTGGAAATGTTTGGGCAAGTTGTTTTTTTTTTTAAATAAGCCATCTGTGAACTTTAAGTACAAAAAAGTTGCTCTTTAGAAGTTCAGGATCTTTGTGAGCCAGGGGTAAGAGTAAGTTCTGGCAGGGATGCTTTGGTAGTATCCAGAGAGCGAACTACAATCCATTGGAGGCAGAAAAATCCCCCTCATCTCTCCTGCCATTAAAATACTAATTTATTAGAGGAATATCCTTTAAAAGAGACACCTTTAAAGTGATGGGAGAGTGAAAGTCTTATCCCCATTTTACAGGTAGGAAACTGGGCACAGACTGATTAAGAGATTTACCCAAGCTCTCACAAGAAGTCTAACTAGAGTGACCAGACAGCAAATGTAAAAAATTAGAATGGGGGGTGGGGGATAATAGGAGCCTATATAAGAAAAAGACCCAAAAATCGGGACTGTCCCTATAAAATTGGGACATCTGGTCACCCTAAGCCTAACAGAGTCTGGAACTGAACCTAAATCGTCCGAGCCCAGTGCCTTAGCCACAAGAACATCCTTCTTCCTCCAACCCAAAGATTAGAAAGATGTAAACACATTGTTTGGATGAGTGTATGTGTTTGTAGAGCACTCCTGTTCATTTAACTGGAGCATTATTGTATGGCTCATTGGAGCAAGGTGGAGTGTAATTAAATAAGGTATAAGGCCTGGTCTGCACTTGAAACTTACGTCAACATAGTTACGGTGCTCAAGGATGTGAGAATTCCACACCCCAGAATGCTTTAGCTATGCTGACCTAACCTCTGGTGTAGACACGGGTAGGCTGCTGGAAGAATGCTTCCGTCAACCTAGCTACAATCATTTAGGGAAGTGGAGTTCCTATAGCAATGGAAAAACCTCTTTTGTCGCTGTAGTCTGTGTCTATGTTACAGGGTTACAGAGGCATAGCTACGGGTAGACGTGGCCTAAGAGACTACAAGCAAGCATATTTGATTCTCAGTTTGGATTTCCCATTTTGTTCATTACTTTCATTTTAATGCTTTATTAGTCCCTTTGTCACATTTACCCCAGGGCTGGCTCCAGGCACCAATTGAGCAAGCAGGTGCTTGGGGCGGCCAAGGAGAAGGGACGGCACGTCGGGCTCTTTGGCGGCAATTCAGCAGAGGGTCCCTGTCCCTCTCGGAGGGAAGGACCTGCCACCGAATTGCCACCAAAGAAGAAAGTGGCACTGTGGAGCTGCCGCTGATTGTGATCGTGGCTTTTTTTTTTTTTTTCTAGCCGCTTGGGGCAGCAAAAACCCTGGAGCCGGCCCTGATTCACCCCATCCAAATATTATATACTGATGGCAATGAACTTGGCTGAGGGATAGTATCCAGGAGCTCCTGTTGGGGAGGTCTTTCTGTAGTTCATAGAGTGTAATTAATCAAATACTATATTGGAAATCTAGTTGGACTGAGTGTTTGCTCAACCTCTTCTATAGCATATACATATATGGAAGGATATTTGCAGATCTAGAGAAGTAAATTAATCAATTTAAGAACCCAGTTATCATTTGGGGAACAAGGTGAGGTGATAAAAGGGAACACCCTCTTCCCGTCCTTACAGTGGTACTGATTGGTAATGTAGTACCACTGAGTACTCTGGAACTAACCTGGCCTATGTCTCAGTGAGAGGTCAAAGAAGTTAGAACGGCATTTATAAGAACTGGTCATTCAGCAAAAGCCTGAGTCTTGACACATCCTGAATTTGTTAGTTCAAAAACAAGCTTTTATAGAGATTGCTGCTATTCAGGCTGGCAATTGAATGGAAGCGGGCCAGGGCCTCTGTGATGTAGAGAGCAGAGTAAAGGTATATGAAGCCCTGACACTGTGAAACTTTTATGCTCATAACCTTATTCAGATGAACTGTCCCATTCAACAGCTTATGTGAGTAACTGTACTCACGTGCATAGTGTTTGCAGGAGTGAATGCTTAAGGCCCAGTCCTGGTCCTATTGAAGTCAATGGCAAAACTCTCTGGCAATGGAACCACATGCTTGAATGCTTTTTTGACCTGGATCTGAAGTGATGAACCTAAGATAAGTGCTAGATTGCTAAGCATGTCACCTAAAAGTGAAACCTATCCAAGGCATAGGGCTGCTGATATAATCCTCTACAGAGCAAACATCTGAGATGTAGGTGTTGAGAGATTTAACACCAAAATAATCCAGTTTAATGATAAATCAGAACTGATAAAAAATAGAAGAGCACCATTCAAAATCAGGAAGGTTTCATGATCTTTTAATCAAGGTTTTCACTAATCTGGAGCGGGTTGCCTAGATTTGCTTTTAACATATTTGTAATTACTGGTGGTGGAATTACACTACGATTAGTTGGGGACAAAACCTGATGGTTAAAGGAGAAGATTTCTATGATCGAGATCAGCCAAGAGTGGAAGTTAGGTCATCTGAATGCAACCTAGATTGAAAGCCACATTGTACTGACTTGTCTTAGCCCTCTAGGAGGAGATGCCTGACTCTTAAACAGGCAATAATCTGTATGTGGCCTCTAATATTGAAACGTTGGTTTTAATAAGCATTTCCCCCCAAACCATTAGAGAAAATTCCAAGTGCATTACAAGTGACATGGTTTATTTTCAGCCCCTGTCCCAGAAGAGAGAGGTACTGTAATTGCTTTGTGTATGTTACAGGACCACTTGCTTATTGCTTGTGAAGATAAATGCCATGAATAATTCTTCTAATTCTAGTGAGGAGTTTCATTCACACTTACCAGCTGGAACCTGAGTCAGAACATTTCATTTCATTGGGAGAAGACATGGGTTCTTGCAGGCTCTATAAAAGATTAAGCAGCCTATGCAAATAAAGCTGTTGAACATTTCTTGTGACCTACAGCCCAGTGCAGCATACAAAAATCAAACACAAAGTTCATATTCACAGGCATTAATCTTATACATGTTGGTGGTTCTTTGGTAGTAAAAAGTAGACACATTTCTCAGGCCACATCCTCATTTGATGTAGTCAGCTTAAATCTATTGACTTCAGTAGAGCCAGCCAGGGATCTGGCCCAGCTATAGCCACCTCTAAAGGACATTTTCCTGTTCCTCCTCAGTATCCTTGGAAAAGGATTTCTTCTCTGGTGCCTGAATTATTATGATGGGGTTCAGTACCGTATTACTTCAGGATATCTTCAAATGAAAATATTCCAGGAGTGCAGTGACAATGGTGATGCTGAGGGTGTCAGCTTGACAATGAAGAATAGCATTCCATGATTCAAGAAGTAGGGTGCATCAATGGCTATTAGCCACAATGGTCAGGGTTGCGATCCTAACTCTGGCTACCAGAAGCTGTGAGTGGAAGATAGGGGTGGATTTCTCCATAATTGCCCTGTTGTGTACACTCCCACTGAAGCTCTGATATAGGCCACTGTCAGACACTGAATACTGGGCAAGGTGGACCATTATCTGACCCAGTATGGCAGCTCTTATGTGCACTGGATTATATTAAAAGGCAAGTACTTTAAAATTAAATACTTTTCTAATGCCTGTATAAATAACTTGTGGAACTCACTTCTGCAAGATTTTATTGTGCAAAAGTGGTTTAGCAAGATGCCAAAAAGAAATACACATACAAATCAGAATATTGGCAATTGTACTAGTTAGGCTAAATTACAGGGATTATATTTAGAACTTCATGGTGTAGCCTTATCTCCACAGTGCCCTATGAACCACAGAGCACACCAGAGTTAATTTCTGAGGCACAGTCAGTACTGATTTCAGTGGTAACTGTACTGCTATGTATGGTTAAGTGCCTTGACCAAGGTCAAAGAAGGAGTATCAGGGTCAGAATAAGAATGGGAGTCCATTGTTCTCAATCCCATGTCTAGTCTACTGGTCCAGCTGCATTCCCCCCATAGGTGCAAATCGATCTGGGGGCCTCTCAAAATCAATTGACAGGTTTATGTGGGTCCCCAAGAGCTGTGTAGGGGGAGGGGAAGATGAGAAACTCAATCGGCAAATTTCAATGCAGGATTAACTTTCAACCCTAGAAATCAGGTTTACATGTACAAGATTGTCTCATCAAGGGTGAGGGAAACTACAAACTGATTCTTCATCTGATGAAAGCTAAATTTAGCCCTAACATTTTAGTCCCCCATATCAGGGGAGGACCATGGCCATAGGATTCATAGTATCTACCAGTCAGCTCTGCACGTGCACACACCTACTTCCACCCCCAATGACCTGCTCCTGGCTGGCATTTATCTCTCTAAATTGCCAGTGCTGAAATAACATACAATTGTGTGTAAAAAAAGAGGAACTAGTAGCCACTATCTGTGTAGTTTAGAGATGAGATGTAAGTTTATGTAATGGATAGATTGATTTCCCACCCATCCCAGTTTAGCTGCAGAATAGATTCCCAAGAACCCCTCTGAGTGATGTCTATGGACATAACAGCCTATATATTATTATTACCTTGGCAAAGCTTATTACATCTCATACTGCTGCCAGCCTAACAGCAGGAAGAAAAGATTATTGCTGCTGCAAAAAATGAAATGATTACATTTTCAACAGGGTAGAGGAGAAAACCACTTTCACTTCCATTTCCTGGAAGCCCCCCATCCTTATTTGGGGGCATTGCCTGAGTCCCAGAACATAAAATTCACTCATACTAGAGTGAAAATAAACTATCTTGACTGCAACCATCGTGAGAGCAGGCAATAAAAAACAAAAAAGCATAATGTTTTACTGTCAGATCTTCTGCTGATGCACACAAGTTCTGTCTTCTGTGCAGCTTTCCCACCAGATTCAAGAATAGCGACTTCTTTTTGGTGAGGGATGGAGAAATTTTATTATTATTTAAACTCCAGGTTTTTAAATGCAATTTGTTTGGGGGATTACCCAGCCTGATACCTGAAGACACCAGGGTTATCTCTGAATTCATTCCCAACAGTGCTTCCTCAGGATTTATGATTGACAATTTGAGTGTATCACTCTTGCAAACATCATATTGTTCACAATCAAGGCTATATAGCTCAAATAGATGACAGGATGGTCCTCTGATTAAGGTGCTGGTCTGCAGCACAAGAGGTCTTAGCTCAATTCTTAGTTCCGGCATGGATTTTCTGTGTCAGTTTGGGCTTTGATATTCAAAACTGAGTATCTAAAATCAGGCTACTAAGTTAATTCTTAATTGAGGCATCTAAATAAAGGGCCAGCTTTTCAAAAGCACTATTGACTTTAATGGGAGCATTTGGGAGCTCAGCACTTTTGAAAATTAGGCTATTTATTTAGTATCTAAAAAAGGATTTATAGCCAAACTTGAAGCACCAATTTTTTAAAAATCTTGGCCTTTGTCACTCTCTGCCTCAATTCCCCATCTGTAAAATGGGGATAATACTTTTCTCACAACCTTTCTCTATCTTGTCTATTTAAATAGTCCCTGTCCCAAAGAGTTTACAATCTTACTTTGTGTACATAGAGCACCTAGCGAAACCGGGCATTGATCTTGCCCGGCACTACTGAAATACGATTAAAAAAAATTGTACTAAAACTTGGGAGTAGGTGAGGATATCACCAGGGGTATAAGGCAAACCAGAAAGTCCTACTTCAAGTAAGAACTTGGTTTGTCTTTTAAGTGTTTCTTATTGTGTGATTATTGTTGCACCATGGCTGTCATTTTGTGCAAATGTTGCTCACTGCCATCCCTGTCTATTTTTAGTTATACAGAAACAGCAATTAGCAGCTCAGGCTGCTGTCTGTTTTCTGATGTTGTGCTTTCCCATACACGTGATCCTGCCTGGGTTCTATGAATTACATGTAAGCTAAGACATTGGTTGGAAATGAGAGATTTTATTATTGTTTTAGATGAATTTGGTGTGTCTGAAGAGTGCTCGATTTACAGACTTGGAACCTAAATTCCTTTATTCAGCCATGGATGAAGTAAAACACAAGCAGTACAAGATTCCCTACATTGTTCTGCCAATAAATGTCAATCCTGACCTGAACGAATCACCTCTAGAGTGACAGGGTAGTTCACTTTCCATTCCCATTTACTCCTTGGCCTCTTAACACAGATGCTAATAGTGATGGCAGCTTTTGTAATGTAGACCCTTGTCCACTAGGAACTGGACTAAAATGACAACATTTTTCACACAAACCACTGAACAGCCATCTGACAACAACTATTGATAGAGGCTGGAGTTTAATCACTGGAGGTCAAAGGGTCTGTATGCCAACTTTAATTCCTGCAGTCTTCCAGTCCCCTTAAATAAAAGCCATTGACAACTTCAGCCAGCAAATGAGACTTTTGACTTGCTAGAGTTCTTTTGATTACTCCCCTCTTGTGTGTGGTGGGGGCAGAGGGGGAAGACTTCTGGGTTCATCATCATTAAGCATTCCAATCTGCTCCTGGTCAGGCTCAGAAAAAGTCAGTTAAAGAGAGAGATAAAGGAGCAGCACTCAGCTTGAAAGAAGTACTGGGAAATAGTAGGTTTCTATATGTAATCTTGGACTGACATGCCTGTCTGTCTCCAGCTAGGAGTGGGGGAGCACAGAAAAAGGTTCACTTTTTTTAAGTATTATTATTTATTTGGTAGCATTATCACCTGTGGGCCAGGAAATTCTGTGAGGGGTCAGAGCCTCTTCCAAACCTTGGTGTTCTACTCAGTGCTGACTGAGCCATACAGTACAAACCTTTAGAATCAGAGTTTGATCGTGTAAGGACAGTGCCCCCTTCTCTGATTGAAAGCAGCTCCTAGTAGCATAATTGGGCACAAAGAGAAATAAGCAATAAACAACAATAACTATAGGGGTGCCAAAGTATTTGAACGGGGGTTAAACCAAGATACAGTCAAGGCAGGAAAAAATTCAGAGCCTTCCTGTATCAGTAATTTACATAGGGAAAAAAGATTTCTTTGAATGCTAAGTATTCTAGTGCTGTTTTTTGTTTCTTCATAATGTCAGTCTGTAGTTTCCCAGGTGGAAGTTAAAGACCCCCCTTTTCTCTACAGAATGCGTCATTGACTCTAGCTTTCAGAAATGACGTCAATTTAATTTCTCATTAGGAGGATGAATGTTGATATGCTTAGGGTCTACTATTGCAATGCAAGGAATAAAGCAGTGGCTGCAAGAAAGCCTTTGCTGAGCATGTCATCAGTGGCCACATTGGCTTACAGCAGGGGTCGGCAACGTTTGGCATGCAGCTCGCCAGGGTAAGCACTCTGGCAGGCCGGGCCAGTTTATTTACCTGCTGACGCAGCAGGTTCGGCCAATCACGCCCCCACTGGCCGCGGTTCGCCATCCCGGGCCAACTCCACCTAAACCAAAACAGAACCAGATTCCTGGCATGTAAAAATTAAAAGGTTATAGAGAAGTTTTTATACCAAGGGTTTGGGGGAAAGCCAACAGACACAGAGAAGCACATAGATTGGACAAAGACATTCCTTAGGGGAGTATCGATTAATGGGGATATCTTAGTAAATAGGAGAGGGTGGAAGTTGATAAAGCATAGTTAGAAACTGCAGAGAAACAGTAAAATGAAAGAGTCCCCCACACAATTACATCACATGAAGGCAGACAACTAAATATTGACAAATTTTGTGCTTGTATGAAAGTGCTAGAAGTCTAAATAGTAAGAACTTGAGTGCCTGATATTAAATGAGGATGTTGATATAATAGGTATCACAGAAACTTGGTGGAATGATGATAATCAATGGAACACAGTAATACCAGGGTGCAAAATATATAGGAATGACAGAGTAGGTCATGCTGGTGGGGGAGTGGAACTACATGTGAAAGAAAGCATAGAGTCAAATATAGTAAAAATCTTAAATAAATCCAACTGTACCATTAAAACTCTATGGATAGAAATCCCATGCTTGAATAATAAGAGTATAGTAATAGGAATATACTACCGACCTCCTAACCAGGATGATATGGTGATTGTGAAATGCTCAGGGACATTATGGAGGCTACAAAAACAGAAAACCCAATAACAATGGGGCATTTCAACTATCCCCCTTATTGATTGGGTACATGTCATCTCAGGATGGGATGCAGAGATAAAATTTCTAGACACCATTATGACTGCTTCTTGGAGCAGCTAGTCCTGGAACCCACAAAGGGAGAGGTAATTCTTGATTTAGTCCTAAGTAGAGCACAGGATCTGGTCCAAGAAGTGAATATAGCTAAACTGCTTGGTAATAGTGACCATAATGTAATTAAATTTAAACTTCCTTGTAGGGAAGAAAATACCAAAGAAACCCACCACAGTAGCATTTAACATGAAGAAGCTAGTTAAAGAGAAATTAAAAGGCACAGTCACAAGAGTGAAATGCCTGCAAGTTGCACGGAAGCTATTTAAAAACACCATAACAAGGGCTCAAACTAAATGTACAGTAGAACCTCAAATATACAAACACCAGAGTTACGGACTTACCAGACAACTGGACACCACTCTGTGAAACTGGATGTCCTCAATCAGGCAGCAGCACAGACAAAAAAAAATAAAAAAATAAAAAGGCAAATATTGTACTGCCTTGGGGCTTTAGCCTGAGGCTCAAGGTTTCAGTCGCTGGGGGGTTGAGGCTGCAGCCACAGGGGGCGGGGGTCAGGGCTCCAGGCAGAGTGGGGGCTCAGAGCTTCTGACCCTAGGGAGCACTGGCGCTCAGGGCTTTAGACTGGGGGGAGCACTGGGGCTTGGCATTCCCGACTTCAGCCACACGGAAGGTGCCAGGACTTCAGCCCCGCAGCTCCGTTGGCAGATTCAGCCCCATGGAAGGTGCTGGACTTCGGGGCTTTAGCTACGAGGGGAGTGCCGGTTTCAGTCTCAGTACCCCCCACCCCCTGCCCCGACTCAAACTGGGAGTGGAGCCATGGGGCTTAAGCCCTAAGCCCTGGCACCCTCCGCGAGGCTAAAACCAGGAGTGGAGACACAAGGCTGAAGCCCCAGCGCTCCCCCGAGGTCTAAAGCCCTGAGCCCCCTGGTGCTCCCAGGGGGCAGAAGCCCTGAACCTCCTGCTGGGAGTTGTGATGGTCTCTAGGGTCAGAAGCCCCAACTCGCCCTGACCCCCCCCCCCCATGGCTGCAGCCTGAACTCCCCCCATGGCTGAAGTCCGTAACATCTTGTTCGGAGTTATGGACCATTTCATAGTCACAGACAAACTCCATTCCTGAGGTGTATACTACAAATAAATTTAAAAAAATTGCAAGAGGACCAAAAAAATCCCATCATGGCTAACCAGCAGAGTAAAAGAGGCGGTTAGAGGCAAAAAGACATCCTTTAAAAATTGGAAGTCAAATCCTACTGTTGATAAATTGTATAGTCAATTGCTTGGCGACACTTTAGATTTATTATGAAATATATTCAAGAGGCCAAATAACTAATCTCAGTCAGGTTTATTGCAGTGAGCCAATAATAATAGGGGACAGGGAAAAAGTTCCATATGATCTGGGAAGCCATCTCAGGCAGCAATGTCACATTCACCTTATGCAGTAGGTGTGCTCCCAAAGTTACACATTTCAGCTGGTATTTTTATATGATGATTTTACAAGTTACACATCTCCTTACATGTCACTGATATTCAACCAGTTTGTCCCAGTTCCCTAACTTGTTGGTTCTGTTCCTCCTTTATCTTTGTTTTGGTTACTAGCATTTCAGGTACTGGTCTGTGAAGGTAGTTCCATAGCTTGTTCTAAGATATAGAATGAATATATCTTGATTTTGACAAGTTCCCTATCTGCTTATGCCAAATGTTTACTTCAGCAAATGCAAGGTGTCATGGGGTACTTAGCTTATACCATAATCCTGTTCACTTATGCTATTTTAGGCTATATCACTGTTACAGAACTTGTGCTTACTGTTATTGGTGCTTAATGCATATTAATTATATGGTGAGGATAATACGCATTTATATATATATATATATATATAAAGCCAGCATATATTAGTCAATGCTACCGAGGAAAATAAAAAGGACCACAAACTTTGGCAAGTCAAGAGTAAAGATATAATTAGGCAGGCCAAAAAATAATTTGAAGAGCAGCTAGCAAAAGACACAAAAACTAACAGCAAAAAAATGTTTTAAATACGTCAGAAGCAGGAAGCCTGCCAAACAATTAATCAGTGGGGCCACTGGACAATCAAGGTGCTAAAGAAGCACTCAAGGAAGATAAGGCGGTTGTGGAGAAGCTTAATGAGTTCTTTGCCTCAGTCTTTACTGCGGAGGATGTAAGGGAGATTCCCACACCTGAGACATTCTTTTTAGGTGACATATCTGAGGAACTGTCCCAGATTGAGTGTCAGTAGAGGAGGTTTTGGAACAAATTGGTAAATTAAACAGTAATAAGCCACCAGGAACCAAGAGTTCTGAGGGAACTCAAATATGAAATTGCAGAACTCCTAACCTGTTGCTTAAAACAGCCTCGGTATCAGATGTCTGGAGGGTAGCCAATTTTTTAAAAAGAGTCAGAGGTGATCCTTGCAACTACAGGTTGGTAAATCTAACTACAGCACAGACAAACTATAGTGAAGAATAACAAGGAGTCTGGTGGCACCTTAAAGACTAACAGATTTATTTGGGCATAAGCTTTGGGCTCAACTCATGTTTTTTACCCACAAAAGCTTATGCCAAAATAAATCTGTTAGTCTTTAAGGTGCCACCGGACTCCTCGTTGTTTTTGTGGATACAGACTAACCTGGCTACCCCCTGATATAGTGAAGAAAGAATTATCAGATCCATAGATGAACATAATATGTTGGGGAAGGGTCAACACAGCTTTTGTAAAGAGAAATCATGCCTCACCAATCTATTGGAATTCATTGAGGTTGTCAACAAGCATGTGGACAAGGGTGATATAGTGGATATAGAGTACTTGGACTTTCAGAAAGCCTTTGACAAGGTTCCGCACCACAGGCTCTTAAACAAAATAAGCTGTCATGGGATAAGAGAAAAGTTCCTCTCATGGCTCAGTAACTGGTTAAAAGATAGGAAACAAAGGGTAGGAATAAATGGTCAGTTTTCACAATGGAAACAGGTAAATAGAGGGGTTCCCCAAGGATCTGTATTGGGACCAGTGCTGTTCAACATATTCATAAATGATCTGGAAAAAGGGGTAAACAGTGAGGTGGCAAAGTTTGTGGACAACACTCAATTTTCAAGATAGTTAAGTTGAAAGCTGACTGAGAAGATTTACAAAGAGATCTCACAAAACTGGTGTCTCGTCAAAAAAATGGCAGATGAAATTCAGGGTTGATAAATGTAAAGTAATGCACATTGGACAACATAATCTCAACTATACATACAAAATGATGGGGTCTAAATTAGCTGTTGCCACTCAAGAAAGTGAATTTGGAGTCATTATGGAGAGTTTTATGAAACATCTGCTCAATGTGCAGTGGCAGTCAAAAAAGCTAACAAGTTAGGAACTATTAGGAAAAGGATAGATAATAAGACAGAAAATATCATAATGCCCCTATATAAATCCCTGGTATGCCAACATATTGAATACTGCATGCAGTTCTGGTAACCCTATCTCAAAAAAAATTATTAGAATTGGAAAAGATACAGAGAAGGGCAACAAAAATGATTAGGGGCATGGAATCACTTCCATATGAGGAGATATTTAAAAAGACTTGGTGCTGCTCAGCTTAGAAAAGAGACAACTGAGGTAAGATATGGTAGAGATCTATAAAATCATGAATGGTGTAGAGAGAGTGAATAAAGAAGTGTTATTTACCCCTTCACATAACACAAGAACCAGGGGGCACCCAATAAAATTAATAGACTGCAAGTTTAAAACAAAACACAAGAAGTATTTCTTCATACAACACACAGTCAACCTGTGGAACTCCTTACCAGAGGATGTTGTGAAGGCCAAAAGTATAACTGGGTTCAAAAAAGAATGACAAAAGTTCATGGAGGACAGGTCCATCAATGGCTATTACCCAAGATGGTCAGGGACATAAACCTATGCTCTGGGTGTCCCTAAGTCTGACTGCCAAAAGCTGGGATTGGATGACAGGGGATGAATCACTTGATAATTGCGCTGTTCTGATCATTCCCTCTGAAGCATCTGGCACTGGCCACTGTCAGAAGACAGGATACTGGGCCAGATGAACCATTGGTCTGATCCAGTCTAGCCGTTCTTAGTTTCTTATAAACACAACGTGGTAGAATTGCAATGGGAATCATAACTTTCAGTTCCCTGACTTTTGTGGATCTGATTCTCATTTACACTAAGATTCTTTTGTATCACTCTGGTTAGTGTAAAAGGACATTGGGGTAAGTGAGAATCAGGTCCTTGTGTGCTTCAGTACTCAATCATAGCATTGCATTAATTAGGGTTACCGTCCGTATTTCCCCAGACATGTCCGGCTTTTGTGTCTCTAAATAGCCATCCAGGAGGAATTGGTAACAAGGTTAAAATGTCCGGGTTTTTTTTCTCCCTCGCCTCCCTCCCTCCCTTCCATGCAGAGTGCAGCTGCTGATTGGGCAGCTGGGCCGATTGAGTCGCTCCCATTGGCCTCCAGCAGCCAGAGCCCCCCCTGCTCCTCCCTCCCTCTGTCTGCAGCCCTGTGTAACACACAAACCGACCCACCAGGCAGCGTGTTTTGCCTAAACATGGAGCCAGAATGGTAAGGGGAGTCCGGGGGGGCAGTCAGGGAGTGGGGGAGTGTTGGATCGGTCCCTGGCCTCCACCTGCCACCCCCTCTCCACGCGTCGTCCCCCTCGTGGGACCCCCTCTCCCTGCCTGCCTCTCCCTTGCCTGCTTGTACTGCCAGAGCCAGCAGCAGCTGCTGTCTGCTTCCCCCGGGTCCTAGCATCTCCCATCCACTAATGGGAAGACAGGCTGTCCTTACCCTGCCCTTCCACCCTAGCCCTGAGCCTCTCCAATGCCCCAAACCCCTCAGCCCCAGCCCTCATCCCCCCATACCCTAATCCTCTGCTCCATCCCTGAGCCCCCTCCTGCATCAAGAACCCCTCATCCTCAGACCACAGCCCTCACCCCTGCATCCCCTCCTATCCTCAAACTCCCTCCCAAAGCCTGCACCCCCTCCCTTTGCACCGCCCCCACCCCCAAACTCCATCCCAGAGCCCTGCACCCCTAACCCCCTCCCTGCACACCCACCCCCTGCCCCAGCCCGGAGCCTGCACCCAGCACCCAAACTCTATCCCACAGCCTGCACCCTGCACCCCTCCTGCACCCTAATCCCCAGCCCAGGATCTGCACCCCAGACCTCCTCCCCACACCCAACCCCCCTCCCAGAGCCTTAGGCAGATGGGGGGCGGTTCTGGGCACCACCAAAATTTCTACAACCCTGCCACCCATGCGAGTGGATAAGGGTCGGGGCAGTCAGGGGACAAGAAGCAGGGGGGTTGGGTTCTGAGGGGGGCAGTCAGGGGGTGGGAAGTGGAAGGGAGTGGATGGGGCAAGGCAGGGGCGGGGCTAGGACAGTGCTCCCCCCCCCCCCAGTGTCCTCTTTTTTGATTGTGGAAATATGGTAACCCTACATTAACATAGATTTTTGCACTGAATATATTTTGGCCTGTATTTCTTTGCTGAAATACCACAGCAGTGGCTGCTGAATCTCACTGAGCTCTTCCCTGGGTTTGCTGCAGATTAATGAGCAGATGGAGAGGAAAGGAAAAGGGTAAGTTGGTTTTGAAAGAGATCTGCTGTCATTGACATCTCTCTGCCAATATTTTAGGACACCTGTAACCATGGGGAACTAGCTTCATTTTATTTTGTAGCAATCATCTACAGCTTCTGACATGCTACATGCTCAGTGGGAGTTCCCTGTGCTGTATTTTTCAATACTTGTTCATTTTGATGAAGTAACATTAACCATTTTTCTCCTTGTCTTTTGAAATAAGTCAGTGGAATATTGGCGATAATAAGTCTTTACACAGACGCTCATGCATGTGATACAGGGTGGGTTTTGATAACTACAGTTGTCAAGGCTGCTTCCCCACTTTGAACTTTAGGGTAGACTTCTAAGCTTAACTACCAGCTTAGATCTGGTCCGCTGCCACCATTCCCAAATGGATTCCCTTCCCTGGGAAGCCTTGAGAAACCTTTCACCAATTCCCTGGTGAATATAGATCCAAACCCCTTGGATCTTAAAACAAGGAGAAATTAACCATTCCCCTTCTTTCTCCCACCAACT